GCGGGAGAGACCGGAGAGGTCTGCTGCGCCATGTGGGTAGCTCCCTAGAAGGCTGGGGATCAAACTTCAGCTGTAGAGGCTGCAGATAGCTTCATAGTGCTGTGCTTAACCCCTTGTGCCACCAGGGAATGGTTGGACTAAAGTGAGCATGGGAGAGAAGAGCATGATGGAGGGAGGGGTCGGATTTAGTGAGGCCTTGTAAGTCATTTGAAGGATTTGGGTGTTTGCCATGGAGCGCCAGCTGAAGGTTTTGAGCAGAGGAGGTATAACAATCTGACCTAGATTATAAAACAAAGACTTCAGTTGCTCTGAGAGAATAGCCTAAAACTGGCAGGCAGGAAGACAAGCTATGCCTGTAGCTGCTGGTTCATCTTCGGGGCACATACATTTTTTGATTTATAAAGTGTGTTCACATCTGTCATCACATTTGAGTCTGAAAAATGCTGTGAAGTGTTTATTATTTTTCCTGTTCTACTTGTGAGGCATTGGAGACGCAGAAAAGTTAATCAGCTCTCCTAGGGCCACTCATTCAGGGAATCTTGGAGCCACACCTTGAACCTAGATCTGCTGACTCCTGGGCTCTTTCCACTATTCCTATTAAAATCCGAATGTCACCATGTTCTTTTCAGCTTAAAGTGATTTCAAGTTTTTCATATGTGATTCTCCGAGCAACAGCATCATGTGAGTGTCTTTGGGGATGAGAGCCAGTGTGAATTTAAAATTCATGGCTTGTAGATCAGAGGTATACAGCAGGGGTCAAAGCAGGGGGCCCCTGTTTTGTGGTGGTGGGAATATTAGGGGGACTACACCTAAGGAGAGAAATCAAATATTGTATAAAAATGAACAACAATGTAAGAAAATTTAAAAAATTAATTTAAATAAATACATTTATGGCTTGGATTTAAAATGCAACTATTTGCATCAAAAGAAAGCAAGTTTTTAATAGATAGACTAGACTTGGAGATGTGCCATTTTGTTTGTCCAGCTACTTGGTATGGACATCTGACATCATACCTTAAAGTTTAAGTGGCTTCGTAAATCAAAAACAATTGTTGGCTTTTAGAATTTCATAAATGGAAAAAGAAAGTAACAATTCTTCAAATACTTTTTCCAGATTTTTGGGGAAACTGAAATTATTATTATTTTTTTAACTAATCTCTGTTTGCCAGGCTCATTGGCCCGTAACATGAGCAGGGTCTATTGGTGTGGCAATTATTTTGTGGCTTGAAACTATTGTGATTCTTGTGGTATAGCATGTTTTTGATCACAAGGACTTTGATTTCCTTAATAAATATCAAATTATTAAAAATACAGAATAGAACCTGATTTAAGCTAATCATGAAGAGTTTGACTGGGTTGTTATTATCACCAAATGCAAATAGCCACTGAGTATGCAGTGTGAATCTGAGTCATCTCTGTTCTTGGAAATTTAATTTTTCCTAAATTAACAAAAAGGGACGCCAAATGAGACAAAAACCCCCATGCCAAGAATTTAAAAGTTCACATCAACAGCAATTTTCTCATACTCTTTTGTACATTTGGGTTTTACAAGGACTTTCCTTAATATTTACAGTGACATGAGTGTTCTAAGACAAATTCTGGCAGTGAGATGAAGCTCTTAATGTCTTTCAAATATTAATAAGAACAAGGGGAATATAAATCTGCAGTATAATAACATTGTTGAAAATTAGTTTTTATAGGTCATTTCTTTGGGTTAGGCATTTATAGTTTTTGAAGTTGAATTAGACTATTAACTTCTTTGTAATTTAGCTTAAGGGAAATTTCACTTTTAGACTAGAAAAAAATAAGCTAGAGGGAATGGAGGTCAGATGGCAACAACAGCCAAAAACAAGTAAGTGGAAAATTTTCAAATATTCCTCTCAAAATTTCTTAGTATGTTATCCTTTCAAAATATACCCTGGGCCAATGGATAGATAATAAAATAAAATCTGGTTCTTGACTGAGAACCTTAACTTTAATTCAGAGTAATTGGTATGTCAGAGTGGCATGCATATTTTTGGGTGACTTATCCTGAACTCCATCAACATAAATTCAGAATTAGAAGAGGAAGATGAAGGGATAGGATGAGAAGAAAATGATTTAAAATCAGTTTATGAGAAAAGAGTTGGGATTTTAATAAAAATCACACTTAATATGATGTAACTACCAAAAAAGCCACATGATATTATATGGACTGCACTGGCCAGGAGAATATAACTAGAACATGGGAAGAAAAGACCCTCCTCCATTCTGTGATCCTATTCCACCCTCCAACCTATCATACCAGCTGAGAAGCACTGTGATTACTTCTGGACATGCCCTGTGAGGAGCATATTGACAGGGGAGTCACCAGCTGGGTGAAGGGACCAAAGACCACAGTGAAGAGGAGCATTGGGGAAAAAGCTACAGCCTTGAAAAAGATCACCTGGGGCAAAGGGTGAAGGATTTTATTAATAGATATGTTTGGCCTTTGGAAAAAGATACCTGAAACCTATGTTTTTTGACCTGTTGAGAATAGCCCCAGGGTCCAGAGCTAGTACAACATGGAAGCTTATAAAGAAATATTTATGCAGGGGCTCCCCTGGTGGCGCAGCGGTTGAGCGCTGGGCTGTGAAGCTGCCCGCAGCCTCTGCAGCACCTGTTTGATCCCTGGCTGCTGGTGAGGGTCCCACATGGCATGCAGACCTCTCCTGCAGCCCGCTGCTCCCCTCAGCAGTGTATTTCGTAAGTCTGCCTGTTCTGTTCCCCGCTTTGGCTCTGTTGAATTCTCTCACCCTCCTGCGCTTCGGACTGTACCCAGTGCTTGTATAAATGAATAAATAAAATCTTAAAAAAAAAAGAATTATTTATGCATACAAGAGCTGGGGTACAGGCCAGAGATGCGGAGGGCTAGAGTGCTCACCAGAGACAGAGTGGGGAACAGAACAGGCAGACTGACAGAAATACACTGCTGAGGGGAGCAGCGGGCAAGTCAGGAGAGGTCTGCTGTGCCATGTGGGTTGCTCCCTGGCCGGCTGGGGATCAAACTTATGCTGCAGAGGCTGTGGATTGCTTCATAGCGCTGTGCTTAACCCCTTGCGCCACCAGGAATGAAAGCTTGTAAAGAAGCACATTTCTTGCCAAAGGCCAGAGAAGTCTTTCAGTGGCTAGGGTGGTTGAACTCATCCTAGTCTTTAGAGGAGTTGAGGGACTATTTTCATTCAATAGGAGTGTTATTATATGGATCATTCACTAATACAATGTGGGGGGATAGGGCTTGAAGTAATTGAGTCTGTAAACTTGAGGGGAAGTTCTTACTTTGTCTTTTTTGCCAAAATTTTGTACTTTGATTTTCTGTTTTCCTAAGTAGATTTTTGGGCACCATACTTGAAAGAATTAAAAAATATTTACTGGTTAAATTAAGTTTCAAAAAGAAAATTTTTTTCTACGGTTACCACCCTTTTCATTTGGTTTCCCTACAAAATTTTTATTGTTTGCTGCTTCTCTTGTGCCTTCTTAAAGTACTCACCAAACTAAGTTTTCCTTAGTTGAATCTGACATTCCACTAAGCCCCTTTCTTTTGGCCCCCAATACTTTTTTTTTTAATTATCCATCAAGATTTTATTTTTAGATTTTTTTATTTTAGCATTTATCATTTTTTACATTTTTTAGACAATATTTGCTTCCCCCCACCCCTTCAGATTGAGTCCCCATAGAATTTCCTTCCCCAAGGCACCTGTGCACCATCACCACAGTCCCCTGTGCTCCTTCCTCCCTTCCTCTCTCCCCCTCCCTCCTCCTCCCCTGCAGGATGTCTCTGGTTTATAATTGTCTGTATTTGTTTTGTTGTGTATTGTACTGTTATTATTCTTTTTACACTGATGTCTTATTGGGTTCCCCTATATTCCTGTTATAAGTGAAACCATCCGCTATTTTTCTTTTTCCTTCTGGCTTATTTCACTGAGCATAATTCCTTCTAGCTCCATCCACGTTGCTGCGAATGGCATGAGTTTATCTTTTTTTATTGCTGAATAATATTCCATTGTGTATATATACCAAGTCTTCTTGGCCCAGTCATCTATTTTTGGGCATTTGGGTTGTTTCCAGGTTTTACCTATTGTAAATGGTGCTGCAGTAAACATAGGTGTACAGGTGCTCTTTTGAATCACTGTTTTTGTGTCCTTTGGGTAGATCCCTAGCAGTGGAATTGTCGGATCGTGTGGTAGCTCCATTTTTAGTAGACTGAGGAACCTCCAGACAGCTTTCCACAATGGTTGGAAAAGTTTTCACTCCCAGCAGCAATGTAGGAGACCTTTTTCACCGCATCCTCACCAACATTTGTTGTTGCTTGTTTTTTTGATTGGTGCCATTCTTACTGGTGTAAGGTGGTATCTCAGTGTGGTTTTGATTTGCATTTCCCTGATTGTCAGGGATGTTGAACATTTTTTCATGTGCCTGTTTGGCCCCCAATACTGATGCCCATCAAAATGACAGACGCTAGCGATTGACTGTATTAGAAAGGTGGGGAGAAAGACATAGATGGGAAATTTTTACATGTGAAAAAGAATAGAAGCATGTTTATAACAGCAATTTTTTAGTATTATTTGATAGCCTACTTCTGTGAAAGGCTAAGGAATTTGTCTGTTGATAAACAGAATAATCTCTATTTCATTTGAAGTATTCCTTTATTGAAGACATGAGTTTGAAGCATCCAGGAAGGCTTCTTATTTCAGTTATTATCTGATTTTAAAATTTATTTATATGTGTGTTTTACTTATGTCTATCTTTTATGCAAACATAACAATTATAGAGTCTTTAAAGTATGTAGAATGCAGACTTTGTTTAAACAGGTTTATAGGTAAGGTACTCTTACGGTCACAGAAATGATTTTCAAAAACTGTCTCATAAATACAGGATGCCAGGTAAGGGATTTGACCACATCAAACTTGCTTCAGAGCAACATGTAGCACATGTGTATGTGACATATTTTTATTCCAATTACTGCTTCACATTTTTTTCAGCATATTGGAACAGGATTCCAGGAGAATGAATCCTAGTGTGAACCCTACAAGTCAAAGGAGGCATCTTCTAGGATTTTCTGCTAAAGAGGAGCAAGATACATCGGATGCTATCATCCAGAAAAACAGCTACAGGTCAGATGCAAGTCTTTATTTGTCTAATTGATTTAATGAAACTTAATAAGAATTATATAGCATAACTCTGTGTCTAAATTGTACAGTTTTGACTAGTAAAGCAAGCAAATTATTGTGGCTACTAATAAATTTTATGTTAAGATCAGTATAAATTTATTTTTTCAAGTCTTTCCCAATTTTAGAATTCTTGTAGAGATGTGACCTTAAGATCTCAGTTTGTGTGCAGTAATAGACATATTGGATCATGTACAGTATATGTGCATTATATTGTATATAATTTTTTAATATAGCTATTTTATCAGTCATGTTTATACCTTTAATATATCTAGTATTTGTTAGTACGTATCATCTGTGATGCATGTGATACGGTTGAATGATATGGTTTGTACCTCTTTGCAGTCATTCAGTAATCGCTTCCCTTGTTTCAGTTGAGTATTATCTTGGTAAATATCCTCATAGTCATTTTTATTAGAGTCAAATAGAGTCAGGTCCTGGACTAACAAGACAAAGGGAGATCACAGTGTGTCAGCATGGTACAATGTAATGCTGGAGCCGCATCAAGCATGTTTATTACTCTTAACTGTGTAAGGTTTCACAGGCCAAGGGCGAGAGGAGTGTCATTGTTATGATTTTTACTCTGTTACACCCATACCTTCACCAAAAGTAATGACTGTAGTCCTGCTGGCTTCCTGGAAAAAAATGTTACATTCATTTCTTTGAGGAACCTGTAGTATGCAAACTACTATTCTAAATGTGGCTGAGGACCCAAAGAACTATTTGGCAGTAACTGTAGTGCAACATACAGTGTGACAGATGCCATAATGCTGGAAAACATGTAACACTTCCTGTTTTTTTCCTGGCATGCCAGAATTGGCCATTGTTCTGAAATACTGATTTTAGTGATTATCTAATAGTCCCTGAATATTGCTGGAGTTTAACATATCTCTAATTGTATTAACTAATTTTTCCAGTTTGCCCTATGTGTTCTGTAATTTGAGTTCTTTGTTGTCAGTGTACTATTCCTTTAAAAGTTTCATTTTAAATTTTTAAAGATTTGTTTATGTGCAGATGATTGTGAAACATTAAAAAGCACCAAATATCACTTTATCTTGAATTGAAATATAGGTGGTTTATTTACATCCAGCTGTGACACCTGTATTCACTTGTTAATGAAGTTTATGTTTCATTTTTATTTTATTTTATTTTTTTTTAATTTTTTTAAACATTTATTTATTTTTATACAAGAATTGGGGTACAGGCCAGAGATGCACAGGTGGGTGAGAGGATTCACCAGAGACAGAGTGGGGAATAGAACAGGCAGACGGACTGAAGTACACTGCTGAGGGAGTAGCAGGCGAGACAGGAGAGATCTGTCCCACCATGTGGGTTTCTCCCTGGCCAGCCGGGAATCGAACTTGTGCTGCAGTGGCTGCGAATTTCTTCATAGGTTTCGTCTTAACCCCTGCACCACCTGGGAGGCCTATTTTATTTTATTTTTAAAGATTTATTTTTTTATACAAGAACTGGGGTACAGACCCTGGAGGTATGGGAGGGTGGGAGGATTCACCAGAGGCAAGAGCTGGGAGCAGAACAGGTAGATGGACCAAAGACATTGCCGAGGGGAGCAGTGGGTGAGGCAGGAGAGGTCTTCCGCGCCATGTGGGTTTCTCCCTGGCCGGCCGGGAATAGAACCCACGCTGCAGAGGCTGCGGACAGCCTCATAGCACTGCGCTCAACCCTCTGCGCCATCGGGGAGCCTCCTATGCCTCATTTTTAAAGAGCTAATGTGAACTAGTTCAAATAAAAAGGAGTAGATTTTAATCCCATAGTTTATAATATGTATTTGCTTTTTGTTTAATAAGTGCATATATTTTTTTCACTCCCAGAATTATGTGGTAAATAAATAAGATGACCATATAATTTGTCAATCAAACTGGGACTTCTAAGACTGAAAGGTAGTATTAGCAATAATTATAGCAGGGTGTCTGGCATAAATCTTGGATAAACAGGAAGGAATGGTTAGCCTGTGCATACAGCATTAACTAGAAGCTGTCTTATCCCAGGAATTCTCATCAATTCTAATTCCTTACCATCATTCTGTCCTTTGGTGATTTATCTGCTGCAAATTTTTCTATTGGTAGGGAACAGTTGCAGATAATCTAGAACACTGACCATCTCGGATTAGCATGGATCTAATTATCTCCAGATTGCATTTTGGAGTAGATTTTCACTTTTCTTTCTCCTTCAGCTCCACCCAGTCCATTCCTGGTATTTCTCCTATCATATTTTTCTTTTCTTTCCCAAAGAATATGTTTGGATGATAGAACTAAACTGGTTAGCACATATGTGCGGAAACCTTTACTAGAGTCTATTTTGTGGAAATAAATTATAAATCAAATACATTTTCAAAGCAGCTTTGGACTTTTCTGATGGATTGTGCCATTTATATTTTATAAGTATGAAGATCTGATTTTCAAAATAGTGCATATGAGGCAAGTTCTTTTTCTTGCTTTTTTTTTTTTTCCTAGCATGGCAAACAATTTACTAAGTACAAAGCAGTTTTCTCTTCTCTTTCACATTTAGCTGTAGGCTGCTCTCCCTCTGTGTGTGCAATCATTGCTGGAGTCTCACTGTATCTGCGTTATTCCAGATAATTTGACCTAACAGGCAGAAGAGGGGACATGGGAAATGATCCTGGTGAGAGTTGCAGGGATGAATGATCTCTATATCCTCAACTGTTGCTTCTTTCCCTGGGCGGGGAGCATACCTAGAAGTCTATCCTTCACCTTGAAGTTAGCATTCCACTCTGCCCAAATTACTTTTATTAAGGGAGCCAAAGCCAACATTTCAGTGTTGCCAAGGTCAGTGGGTACTTCTGTCTTCATCTTGCTAGATCTTTCCTCAACATCTGGCTGTATGAATCACTTCTTCCTTGAAATATTTTCCTTTTGTATTGCTACATTTTTCAGTTATTCTCCTTTTTTGCAGGCTGCTGGTTCAGTTTTCTTTGCAGGCTCCTCTATCCACATCTCAGAATTTGGAATTATGAACTGTTTTGTTTTTTTTCTGCCTAGATGACTCATCCATAATTAGTTTACAATCCATAGCTGTATGTCCTGACTACTCTCAAGATTGTGCAGACCTCTCTTAGTTTCCAGATTCATATAGCTAGAAGATTCCTTAATGTCTGTATTTTAACATTTCAAATTTAATACATGCACAGTTGAAGTCTAGGTCCCTCTGTATGTTCTATTTCTAGTCACTTCTCTACCACAGTCTTAGTTCAGAAACCCGATTCCTCCTTTTCAACAAGTGCTGTGGTGTTCTTTCCAAAAATTAATTTGATTTGATCGTCTATCCTCCATCTTTCCCTCCATCACCTTATCTTCAGCTCTTTCCTGGATTACTCTAGCTCTAGTGACTGGTCTCTCAGCTCCCCCCTTTGCCTCCATCAAATCCATTTTTTTTAAAGATTTATTTTTATTTATTTATGCATACAAGAGTTGGGGTGTAGGCCAGAGGTGCAGGGGGGAGGGTGGTGTGAGAGGATTCACCGGAGACAGAGTGGGAAGTAGAACAGGCAGATTGACTGAAATACACTGCTGAGGGCGCAGCCAGTGAGACAGGAGAGGCTGCTGCGCCATGTGGGTTAGCTCCCTAGCTGGGGATCGAACTCGTGCTGCAGTGGCTACCCATAGCTTCACAGTGCTGAGACTTTACCCCATGTACTACCAGGGAGGACCCAAATTCATTTTTGGTACTACGGTAAAGTGGGGAAGAATTAGAAATATAATCAGTTCTTCATTTGACACTCTTTTGTGGCTTCTCATTACATTGGTAACTCCTTATTATAATCTCGTCTCTATTTTTCCAGTCTCATCTTGGGCCTCCCTCACTTGCTCACAACTTTTCCTTTGGTGGTGATCTTCAAGTTCCTGTAACCCACCCTTTCCCCATCTGCCTCTACCTAGAACATTTAACCCCAGTTTCTGCAGGAGTGGCTTTTCGTCATCCTTACTTTAAATCCCATCTTCTCAGGCCATTTTATTTAAAGTACATGCTGCCATTGGTCTTTTTTTTGCCCATTTACTTGTTTATTTCATATTTTTTATCAGAGCTTGCATTTATTTTATATGTTTGTTTTCTTGTATTTGGTCCATCTTCCCCATCAAGGTCTTTGAGGATAGAGATTTTCTCTTGTTGGTTAGCCCATTGGATTCCCAGCACCTAGCACAGTTCCTAGCAAACACTTGATATTCAGGAAATATGTGCTGAGTGAATTAGTGAAAAGTGTGATTCTAGTCATGTCCAATTTTATGTATTTTTTTCTTTTTGGGTTTTTAGCTTATTTACTTTTCTAAATCCAGTGCATTTTATAAAAAATTAAAAAGCAGTCTAAGATTTCTTAGTAAGAAAGTTTAAAATAAATAGGTTGATAAGGGACCAGGAAAAAGACTAATTATAATAAAGTAAAAATCAAAATCAACAAGCAACTATAAACCAGAGATACACTATGGGAGGGATGGGGAGGGGTTAGGATCAAAACGGAGGGGGGTGGGAATTGTATGGGGACTATAGCCAAGATGAAGGTGCATACATTGTGCAAAAATGAAAAATGATGTAAAAAATATATAAAATAAAATTAAAAAAATGAACAATGATATAAGAAAGTAAATTTAATTATAAAAAAAGGACTGAAACTTCAAAAAAAAAATAAACAGTTTGAAGAGAGTAAATAACGATACCGTCTCCGCTCCAATTTCTAATTTTCTGATGTAGGGTTTGCTCCCTGCATCACATAAATTCACATCGTATAGATTATTGATGTGATAACTAGAAAAGTATGTATCTTTAAGCTAATGGACGTTGATGTCACTGTGTTGTTTTATTATTGATTCAGATTCCTCCATGTTTCCTAGGAATCTACCCAAAGGACACAAAAACACTAATTCAAAAGGAAACATGCACTCTTATGTTTATTGCACACACACTTTTAAGGAGACAATTCAATTTTGTTATTGCAGAATTGTGAATGACCACACAACCTGGGTCCTGGTCACATTGTACTGTCCTGCGTATCAGTGGGTCTCTCCTCCTGCTCCTACTGTTATTGTGTCACCTCCTCTGTTCCAATAGCTCTATGTATGTATGCCTGTGCTCATTGAAGATGTGAACTGTTATCATTATATCTCCAGTCTCTAGTACCCAATAATTATTAAGTGAATGGTGGCTGGATAAATATGCATTACCATGATGATCTGTAGAACATTGAAAAGTGACATTTGTGGTAAATAGTCATTAATTCCCTCCTTTCATATTTGTCTCTACCTTATGGCCTACTTACTATATTTTTATTTCCATGAACAGTTGTGATTTTCTTATGGCAAACTTAGGAATTTAAGATACCAGGAGACACATTGTGCATCTATGTTTCAGATATGATCATTCTGTTTCAAATGACAAAGCCCTGATGGTGCTAACTGAAGAACCACTGCTCTATATTCCTCCACCTCCTTGTCAGCCCCTCATCAACACCACAGAATCTCTCAGGTGAGTGTTGTAGATTGTTGCAGGAATATCTGACTGGGTTTCTGTTTAGCTTTGGAACCTACAAAAGTGTTATCAGATTGTTTGGATTAACTTAATGTTCAGATTAACCAAGTAGCTGAAAGAATCTCTGAATTATTTTTTGGGTGACTGTAGGGCTAGCAATTGTTACTCAATTTATCATCAACTTGATAGAGATGGTGATGGGTCTATTTCATGTGTCTTATTTAAATACTACAGATTGACAATATAAAAATTAAAAGAAAGTGTGAGACTTATAGGTGGTAACATTCATAACGGAAGGTACCTTTTTTCTTCATTTAGGAAGATAGTAATTTGAAGATGTGAGATTTTGGAGATACTTGCCCATTGTTGCACCTCTCCCTTTTCATTTTTTCCTAGAATTTTTTTCTGTGATTTTAATTCCTGTTCTTGAATCTCAAAAACTGCTCTTTCTTCTGATAAGTAGAAGTCAATTATTGTTAAGAAAGCATAGTGTATTTATAACTTCTCTAAAAAGTAAGCAAAATAAAGGGAAGTTATATTTGAATTGGGCTTTTATTTCCTCTGTTGTAAAATTCAGATTATTGTGCATTGAAATTTCTTTTTTCCTACCCTCAAGCAGTTGAATTTATTATTCATTTCTTTCTCCCCAAAGTGTATGATTTTCAAAGGCTTAGTACATCCATTTGCTGTTGGGGATCTGTAACTAAAGTGCTCTCTGATATCTCTAGTATTTGTGTGTACAGAACCCAAGAGTATAAACAGGAAGTACTTTTTTTGTGGAAAAACATTTTCATCCAATATTTATGGCAGATACTTAGCTATGGTTTTCTTTGAATATTGAGTTAATGTTTGATGTATACCTATTAAAACCAACTTTAAATGTCTTCACTTTTTCAAATCAAAAGAGTAATATTGAATCATCAGGCACTTGAAATACTCCTTGGGACCTATAGAATTTGGGGCATTTATTTGCATGAAATATGTTCAATTAATTAATCTCTTTTATAGGTTAAACCATGAACTTCGAGGGTGGGTTCATAGACACGAAGTTGAAAGGACCAAGTCAAGAAGAATGACAAATAATCAACAGAAAACCCGTATTCTCCAGGTTTGTTTTACTTGTCTTCAAACTGTGGTTAGCATATTTGTTTGAAGATTTTCTCCAACTAGATTGTTGTCTTTCTGGAAGATTTGGAAGCGTGAGCTTTTAGCCACTTCCCACTGCCTCCTGCTGCTTCTGATGCAGCTGTCACTGCCACTGAGTCCTTCTCCCAGATTTTATAGCTCTGGTTTAGGTTTATAGCCCTAGTTTAGGTTGCACAACACTAGTTTAAGTTTTATGGCACTAGAATTTCCTGATAAGACATGGTCCTGTTGCTTTTTCCTCAAATTTCCTTTCAAGTCAGGGATTCCTATGCATAGATGTCTGAATCAAATACTTTGGGCACAAATAGTATAACAAATGATGCTATTAATGTCTTTTTGTTGGAGTGGTGATGACAAAAGTCTTATTAAAGTAGATTCAGGAAATGATAACTGAGGAAGTAGAAAGAATTATTTCAGGATGGTTTCCATTAATGGGAATAGGGAAATGGATAGCTTTAAGAGGAAGAGTTTTTATTTTTTTAATATTTTCTCCTCCAGGTGGCTTTCTTACCACCTGATCCTCCAAGAGACTTCTTTTTTTAATTTTTACATTGAAGAATTGGGGTGTAGGCTGGAGGTATGGGGAAAGGGGTATGAGGACTCACCAGAGACAGAGCGCGGAGGACAATAGGTGGATTTACTGAAATACACTGCTAAGAGGAACAGCGGATGAGACAGAAGAGGTCTGCTGTGCCATATGTGGGTTAGCTCCCTGGCTGGGCATCAGACTCAGGCTGTTGTGGTGATAGCACTTAGAGTTTACCCCTAGGCTACGAGAGAGGCCCCCCAAGAGGAAGAGTTTTTATTTTTAGATAGGATATATTTGAGTAGGTTTACATCTTTATGTGCTAATGGAAATACCTTAGCTATTTGATTATTTAGTATAATGATTACACTTTAGCTATTTGAAGCTACAGAGGTAGTTTTGAAAGTATTCTAAAGGGATATTGAGAAACAGGGACTGTTAACTATCATGGATAAATATCTGGGTAAAAATAAATGACCTCTTTTTCCCCTTAAATGGCATGTTATTTCTTTAGATTGTGATACATATCTAGGTTGCCTATTTAGAGGAAAGGTTCAGACTGGAAGTTTAATTTGGGATGATATATCTTTGGGAGAAAATAAAAAAGGCAGGCAGGGAGGAACTATGCCCACAAGCAAAATCCAACATTGAAGAATGACTATTTGAAAAAAAACTGTATATATATTTTAATGAGAATTTAGTAAATGTAAATGTGGAATGAGTTAATATAGGAAGATCTTTTTATAATTTCATTGGATGCCATTAAACCATCTTTTTTTTTTCTTCCAGGGTGCTCTGGAACAGGGCTCAAATTCTCAGCTCATGGCTGTCCAATACACAGAGACCACTAGTATCAGGTGAGAAAGTGTGGAAGCTCTTGGCCAGGGAATTGAAGTACCTAGTAACTTAAAGTTGAAATGCACACTTTCTTAACCTTGCCCTAACCTTGTTCTCATCTGTAACTTTAATGTTAGTCCACACAACATCCACTGCTTCAGATCAGAGTAAAGCCAGGTAATTACAAAAGGTTTCCCAAAGCCCTTAAATAATAGGCTTAGAATGCTGTCCACTTGTAGTTTTGCTGTAAATCTTAAGTATTTACAGCTCTCCTGTCCTTGGCTCACATCTATTTTATGAATATAGTGGAAGGAAATATTATTTTGTGAGTCTTCTTTGTGCTGGGTGTCGTGCTGAGTGCTCTACATATATTTTATCTTTAAGTCCATATAATAACTAGAAGTATAAATACCAGGACCCCTTTATATATATATATATATATATATATATATATATATATATATATATAAAAACTGGGCAGATAACATATTTTTTCTAAGTTTCAGAGTCATGAACAATAAGTGGCAGAATCAGATTTAGATCCTAGCTATTTGAGTTAAAGTTCATTTGTCACTACATAGTGCTATTTTAAGAATTTGAAAAGTTTCCTAAAGGACTGCTGTACTAGGTGTGTGAGTGTGTTGACCAAGATGCAGCTAACACAAAGGAACACTAATGTGGGAGGCAGTGTGTTGTCAGTGTTAAGATGCTGGCTTTAGACCTGGGCAGAACTCACATCATAACTCTGCCGTTTGCTTTGTGGATTTAGTCAGGTTGATTTAAAATTTCCTCATCTACAAAATTCTGGCTACATAGAATGATGTCATTATTAAATTAAGTATTTAAAGGATTTTGTCTGATTTTTAGCATTTTCATAGAACGGTACTGATAGGATGTGACAGCAGTATCACTGATAAAGGATAAGAGTGTCATGTTCTTCCTGTAGTTTTATCACAGATTTACAGTTCACAATTTATATAATGTTAATTGAGCATTTACTGAGAACCAACTATGTGCCAGACTGTTTCAGGCACTGAGAATATATGTAAAATATAAGTTGAAAGTTATTTTATTTCATTATCCTATGAACTGAGTATTCTTACTAAGTAGCAGTGAGCAGCATGTCAGCAACCATGAATGCTTAAAATCCTGAGATACTGTATTGCACTGTAGATAGAGTTCTTTTATATACACACACAGTGATTGATATATAGGATATATATTTTTTATATATATGATATGTATCATATATATGTAACTAGAAATTCTCAGTAACTAGACAATTTCATTCATTTACTTGATGTATCTTTTAAAATTTGTCCATTTTGATGCATCACTATAATGGCATGTCATTTCTGCATTAGTTAAAAATGTTTTTAATCTCTGTACCCTCCTTTTATGTTTGCCATGAACAGAAAACTGCTGAAAAAAGTCTTTAAAAAGGTTTTTATGAATGAATTATAGTTGATTGGTGTCATTAGTCACATATTCTTTATTGGTGAATCTGCCTACTTGCTGACATTTATTTGTAACTCCAGAATCAATACTCATGGCATTTTCACAGTCATTGGCAAGTAGGGCTCTATCTTCAGGTTTCAACTCTTGTACTGTAAACAAGTATCCTTTTGAGATCTATTTAGTGTCATATTTTCCACATTTTTGTGCTTTCAGTTGATGAATTCATTGTTTAATGTGCCCCCCAAGTGCAGAATTAAAGTGCTGCTGTGTCTGTAAGTGCTGATAGACTATGTTGTGGCATGGGAAGAAGACACACAGCTTATAGGAAGAGAAAGACAAATACCAGATGGTGTGTGTGGAATATAGAGAAACAAAAGAAAGGGTCAGATAAAACCATACTAATAACCCTAGAAATCTGACTGTAGAATTGAAACTGCCAGAGGGGTAGTGGGAGGGGGAGAGCTAAGTGGGCAGGAGGCACAGTGGACTGTGGGGGAGGACTGTGGGAGTCTTGGTGTAGAGGGTATGATTGATGATATACATCTGAAGGGTGTCAATTTATACCTCTAAATCATATACATTGTTGTAGACCAATGTTGCTTCAATTAAAAGAAGGTATCTTCAACAAAATAAAAACAATTATAAATCTGAGACAACCTGCAGGGGAGAAGGAGGAAGAGGGATCAGAGGGAGGGAGGTGCACAGGGGACTGAGGTGATGGTGCACGGGTGCATTGGGGAAGGAAATTCTATGGGGCTACACCTGAGGGCGGGGGGACACAAACATTGTTTAAAATGAACAATAATGTAAAAAAATCTATAAAAAAAAAACAAACAAAAAAAGGAACATGTCTTTAAACAGAAACACGTAACACAAGTTTCTGTATTGGTGTGTTGACAAAAAAACTATACTTAACGCTTGCTAAATGGTTTGGTATTCATGGAATATTACTCAGCATTCAAAAAAGATAAACACATGCAATTTGCAGCAACATGGATGGCACTGGAATGGATCATGCTCAGTGAAATAAGCCAAAAAGAAAAAGAAAAATACCGGATGGTCTCACTCATAGCAGGAATCTAGAAAACTTAAATAAGGGACCAGAAAATGAATAACTATAAGAAAGTGAAAATCAAAATCAACAAAAAACTATGAACCAGAGACACTTTTTGGGGGGTGGGGGGCGGGAGGGGAGGGATTGGGGTCAGAATGGGGGGGTTGCAATTGTATGGGGAATATAAAAATAAAATTTATTATTAAAAAAAATAAAAAAAAATAAATGGTTTGGTATTAACTAATTCAGCGTTTGTGCTCACTTTCTAGACAAGAATTACCATGAATAATAAGAATTCAGAATGTTCAGTCCAAAATGTCCTTGTGAGCAAATGGAATTATTTCAAATGAATTTTTTTTATTAATTACATTTTTTTCATACATCGTTGTAGTACCCATAGTTTTCCTACCACCATATCACCCTTGAGCCATCACCATATTCCCTTGTGTTTTTCCCTCCCCTGTTTTGATCCCCACTTTCCAACCCCTCCTTTTTTTTCTGTGTCTCAGATCTATGGTCAGCTTATTAGTTTGACTTTTTCTTGACCTTTTGTCAGATGAATTTCTTCTGATTCATAATTTTCTTTTTGATCCGTTTTTTTCCTCCCTTTTCATTAAAAACCCAAAAGGAAGAAAACAGGAAAGTTTTATTTTTGGAGAAAAATGAAGGATTATTTTTTTATGTTGCTCTTAAGTTGTGGGTATTGACTTAAGTGTTAAACAGTCAACGACACTGAAAATATTATTACAAACTATATTGTATAATTTGATGATATCTTTTGGAAGACGTTTGAAGCACAGGGTCTAACCATTTTATTAAGACTGTGACATGGTACTTTGACTCTCTGTGGTTAGCAATTGTTGAGTGACTTCCATGAGAAGGGACCCAGGCTTGGTACTTTACAAATATAATATCTCTACTTCAGTAACACTATGTGATTATTCTTATTTTATTGAGGTTGCTCAGAGATTGATTCCCCTAAGATTACCCCCCTGAGGAATGAAGAATTCAAAACCAGATGTTTGCTTCCAAATCCTAAACTCTCTACTTTTCACACAGCCTCATAGCCAAGCATTGCCTTCATAGATTTGACAAGGTGATGAAGAATAACTTTCTTTATACCTAAATTTTTTTACTAAAATATTTAAAATCATTCAAACCAGTGTAAAATCTATTATCTGAGACTTCTGTTACTTTTATTTGCTTTTCAGTATACTTGACTGGTACATTTTAGATTCTTGATTCAGAAATGAATGTTTTAGTTTTAGTATATTGGGCCTTACAATTATCCTGACCTTGGGCCTTTCGAAATGTTATTATAAAGACTACTGCCAAAATGTCACTAATATTTTGCTTGACAGAGATTCCTACAACTCAGATATGGCCTTAGAATGGAAAGTTTTTTTTTGAGAGGATATGAAATTTTTAAATTTAAGAACACTGGGTTTTTGTTTTCCTTCAGCAGAAACTCAGGGAGTGAGCTACAAGTATATTACGCTTCACCCAGAAGTTATCAAGACTTCTTTGAAGCCATCCGCAGAAGGGGAGACACATTTTATGTTGTATCATTTCGAAGGGTAAGTTCATTTTGAAAGATAAAAGGAAGTATTTTTGAGTTCCTGTTATGTACAGAGAATGCTGTAGATGGTGATATGATGTGAAATAGGAAGCAACATAAAATAAATTATGTAAGTGGAACAAAGTGCAGTAAGACATGCTTGACTTTGAGTTGTTCAGCATTATGAAGGTGGACATGGAGTTGATGGTAGGCAATGAGTTCATATTTATTTAGGAAATATAGATAACTTGCTGATTTTTCTTGTTGTTTTTTTATAACTATACACTTTGTTATAACTGTACAAAGACAGAGGAGAAGTAGAAACAAAGATTTATTTTTAGATTTTGTCATGTATTTATGTTTGGTTATTGAGATATAGAATTCCTAGATGTTGGTTTAAGATGAATCATGGGTTGCTTGGATAATGGACTGCTTGGATCTATGTACTTGAGACTCTCTATTCCTCTTTTCTCTCTCCATCAAATATTTATTCGTATTGGTAAAGAATATGTCAGCTTATGCAAAAGTAAATTTTATGCAAGTACCTGTGAATATTTCAAGTGTTATATTGAGTGGGGCAATATAACACACAACTCTTTGCATTCTGTTAACCTTTTCATAAAATGAAAGCATATTCTTCATAGTGTTGCCATATGAATTTCTCTGTTGGAGGTGCTGAATGTTAAACCAGGAACATATGAATGAGCTCTAATTCCTTGGAATTTTTCATCCAGGTTTTCCTTTTCTTTTTTTTTTTAAAGAGTGGAGAGAGGGAGTGTGGTTAGAAACCAGCATCTACTAACAATAGAGTAAGCAGCTTATTCTGTGATTATTGTCACCAGTCAATATCACTGAAATTCTGAGTTCACTCATTTCTTTCCTGAAGGTCTGAATAAGTAATAGCTCAGAATTTTAGGGCCAGAGAACTCTGACATTTGAAGATTAGGGAAATTAAAATTTATTATCTTTTTAGTTATTAATCAAATATGCTAGGAGATTTGGAATACATTAGCAATGGTAGCTCATGATTTCTGCCTTTTCATAAAATTCCCTGTGCTTAGCTATTCTCTGACATAACTGTGATATACTGCACCAGCCTTAAAGCTCATTTTCAGCAGCAAGCAGGCAGTTGAGAACAGGGAGCCTCCAGTTGTATTGACTGATGAGGGCTACGTATTTGATAGAGTTGATAAAATATTGTTAAGATGGGGAGAGTGTGTAGGGGAGGGAGGAGAAGTACACTTTTTTGAAAATGACATCCTGCTCTGTGAAGAACTTGATGTTAAAAATGTGTTGAAGTATGTGTTATGGAAATCACTATAGAATGTTCTTTTTTAAAGATTTTTATTTATTTATGCATACAAGAACTTAAGTGTAAGCCAGAGGTGCTGGAGTTGAGAGGACTCACCAGAGACAGAGGGGGGAGCAGAACAGGCAGAGCTACTGAAATACACTGCTGAGGGTAGCAGTAGGCCAGACAGGAGAGGTCTGCTGTGCCATGTGAGTTAGCTCCCTGGCTGGGGATCGAACTCATGCAGAAGGGGCTGGCTGGTGATAGTTTGATAGTGCTGAGACTCCCCATCAGGGAGACCCTAGAAGAATATTTTTAACACTAAAATAGCCAAATACTTTTGCTCAGGTTCAGGGTAATTTCTCTATTATTTGGTTAAAACAGAATAGATTATATTGGAGGTAGCAATGTTAAGCCATGAATTAAAGTCATAGTAATATTTTTCTAGGGAAGAGAACAAGTATTTATTATAAAGAAAATAATTCTACCTTTAAAGATACTGTATTTTGCAAAGGAAGATGACTGGTGTTCTATTTTAAATATATGCTTTATATTTCTTGCATTTGTAAAAGCTGTTTCTCATTAGTTTGCTGTGAAAAGTGCTGCTGGGAAATTATTGATTCCCTCCCTCCCTCCTCACCCTTTGATATTCTAGAAGAAATAATCTTTCTCATGTTCATGAAAACTGCTAGGATTATCTCTCACATCCTGTTTGGATTTTTCATTTCCTAATTACTGATTTACCACATCTTGGTGTTTGATATCAAGGAAAAGTGAGAATAAACCTGAACTTAATTAGATAGCAGTAGTTAGAGACAACATCCTTTTTCATTTTTTCTTTCTTGTTTTGATAGTAGGGATAAGGAAGTTAATTTTATTATCCTGACTACAAACTATGTCATGGGATAAGAATTTGGCTCTTAAATCTTGGATGCTATCTTTGTTCTTGCTGAAATGAAAATGAAAGAAATAATGACCTTGTACTTGGTTCTCTCTTCATTTTTCAATGTAAAATGTCTCCTACTAGTTTCATTAAAAGGGCAAGTGGTGTTATTTTTTAAATTTTTTTCTCCCACTTAGATTTTTAATTTCTTTGACAAATTATTATAATTGATACTATATGACTACCTTGGAAATTAAGAAAGATAAAGACAGGTAACAAGGTTTTACTTAGTATAAACCAGACATCACTGAGCCAATAAGCAAACCATATTGTCTTATTTTATAATTGGTCATGTATTCAAAGAATATTTTAATATCTAAAAATACAGAAGTAGCCATTCACTATTTAATATACCATTATTTAGTAAGCCAACTCTTCACCAAATTTATACCCTCATACTCCACAGTCCTGTGCCCTTTAATCTCATTACATTTGAGCTGGTAGAATGATTTTCTCCAAGCCCACTCATTCTTGGGAAACTGAGTTCCTTATGGACCAGCAAAAAAGAATGCTTATGATAGGCGCTCAAACTTGCTCCTGTTTGAGTTTCCTTTAAATTTTTGCCTTCAATTCCCTAACTTACAGTATTCTTTTTGTTTAGTTCCAGGGATTTATAACTTGTTTTCCTATAAGTACATTGTCTTTTTTTCTCCTCTTTTTGAGTTTAGTATGATTGGAAACTGGAGCTATAGAAATTAAATGTTTTCTCAAACTTCCAAGTCATTTGGAGTATGGCAGAACTGGTACATGAATAAGAAAAAAAAAAAACCAATAAGTTTAATGTTTATTTTTCCTTAATGCTTCATATGATAGTCTGTTTAGGGAGGAGGGGATAGATTGAAGAATATAACAAAATAAATTCAAGATCACAGGGCAGAAAAAAATACTCAAGAGAGCGCGAGTGAAGTAGTATAAAAAGTGATTTCAAAGGGGAAGGAATAATAGCGTTGAGAAATAAGGTGAAAATGATATTTACCTTATCTATAACTCAGTAAGCACAGAAATCCTATCCTTAGATACTGCTCTTTTGTTTACTAATAACTAGAGAAAGGAATTATTTTATCTTCCTGGAGCAAATTTCCCATTAGAAATAGGTTCTCTTTGATTCACATTGCTGTGAATGCCATCCATTGTGTGATCTCTATTCAAATTCTTTGAAATTACTATCTCAAATGAGATGGAGGTCTACTTTTGGAACACTTTTTATTTCTTCCATATTTTGTTGTCAATGTCTGTCCCTTAAATCCAAAGTAGACACTTGAAATTTCCTTTCTATCTGTTTCAGATTCATATGTAATGTAACATATATAAGAACCTTGCCGCACAGTTATTTCTCTCTCCCTCTCTTTCTCAGTACTTTGTGTATTCTAGACATAGTACTGTATTTGGGTATTTTACCTCTTACTGATCTCTCATAAAGCATTTATTCATGCTCCTGTATATGTGGCAGGAATTATAAACATAACCATAAGTAGTAGGGTCTTATGATAAGAGAAATGGGGATTTAAAGAATCACAATCACAGGGACTGTTTTTGCACTTGTGCTTCATGGACTGGAATGTCAGTCCTCATGGAGAACTGGAATAGTTGTTGTCATTCCTGATTTAACAGCAGGTCCAGTAATTCCATGTTAGTCTCATACATTCTCATTCAGACTGCTCAGACAGCAAGGGAATCTGAATGTAGCAGAATCTAATTATTGCTGAAAGGTTGGCAGGCAATATTATTGATTCAAAATCTTTGCCAAAGGCTTATTCCAGTAGCAGGTCATAAAAAGGAATTTCACAGAATAGCAGTGACATTTCCTAAATTAGTACCTAGGTTAACAGCTAATACATGCTTATAAAAATAACATATATTTTTTATTTTTAAATTTATTATTTATATTTATTTATATATATTTTACGTCATTGTTCATTTTTGTATAATGCTTGCTTTCTCCTCTCAGGTGTAGTCCCCATAGAATTCCCACCACCAGTTCACCCATGCACCATCATTATAGTCCCTTGTGCTCTTCCCACCCCTGTTTTAATCCCACTCCCTCTCCTTCCCCTGAAGAATATCTCTGATTTATAGCTGTCTGTGAAATTTTTAAAAATTTATTGTTATTTTTTTTCCCTGACCCCTTCTTTGTTTCCCCTGTATTCCTTCTATAAGTGAAACCATCCGATATTTTCCTTTTTCCTTCTGACTTATTTCACTACGCATAATCCCTTCTAGCTCCATCCGTGTTGTTGCCAATGGCATGAGTTTATCATTTTTGATTGAATAGTATTCCATTGTGTATATATACCACATCTTCTTGATCCAGTCATCTATTTTTGGGCATTTGGGTTGTTTCCCTATCTTACCATTGTAAATAGTGTTGCAATAAGCATAGGGGTGCAGGTAGTCTTCTGAATTAATATTTTTGTGTCCTTTGGGTAGATTCCTAGGAGTTAAGAATAGCATATTTTATTAGTTTATTATTTATTTATTAGAAATTTATTTTTCATGTATATGATAATAGAAGTACTTTTATATGATATATAAAAGTATCAGAGGCAAGAGAACTTTTCTTAATAAATGCAGGAAATTAGTTTTATAAAATCTGCTTCAGAAGGATACAGCTCCTTTTCTTCTGGGACTTCCCAACTTGCACATACTCTTGCCTCTTGGAGTTTGGCCATTTTCTTATCTCCATTTTCATGGCCTTTAGCCAAATTCTTTCTCTAACTGGGGAAAAAATGTGAATAAGTGATTTGGAAAGAAGATGCATTAAAAAATAAAGTCTTATCTTAGAAGA